TCTCTCCCACCTCCCTCTTCTTTCTCTCTCCTTTTTTCATCCTCTCTCTTCTTTTCTCCCTTTCTTGGTTTCTTTCTCTCCCTTGTCTCCTTCCTTCCTTTCCCACCGCTCCCTTCTTTCTGGGCCCTTCCACACAGCCATATAACCCACAATATCCATTTTAAACCAAAATATCTGAGTCCACACTGCCATATATCCCAGTTCAAAGCAGATAATGTGGGACTTCATTCAGTTATGTGGGCTCTCTCTCCTTTTTCTCAGGGCACTCCCACACAGCTCTATATTCCAGAATATCAAGGCAGAGAATCCCAAAATATGGTAGTGTGGACTCAGATAAACCAGTTCAAAGCAGATAGTGTGGGATTTTTGGCCTTACTATTCTGGATTTTATGACTGTGTGGAAGGGCCCTTAGGCCCCTTCCACACAGCCCTATATCCCAGAATGTCAAGGCAGGAAATCCCACATTATCCGAGTGTGGACTCAAATAACCCAGTTCAAATAAGATATTGTGGGATTTTCCCTTGATATTCTTTTATGACTGTGTGGAAGGGCCCTTAGACCCCTTCCACACAGCCCTATATCCCAGAATATCAAGGCAGGAAATCCCACATTATCTGAGTGTGGATTCAAATAACCCAGTTCAAAGCAGATATTGTGGGATTCTGCTTTGAATTGGGTCATCTGAGTCTACACTGCCATATATTCCAGTTCAAAGCAGATATTGTGGGATTTCCTGCCTTGATATTCTGGGATGTAGGGCTGTGTGGAAGGACCCTCAAATTCTCTCTTCTTTTCTGTCTACACTCAAATAATGTAGGATTTCCTGCCTTGATATTCTGGGATATAGGGCTGTGTGGAAGGGTCCTCAGACTCTCTCTTCTTTTCCTTTGTCTCCCTTCTTTTTCTCTTCCCCCCCCCCCCCCCCCCCCCCCCCCCAAAGGCTCCCTCGCGCCAGAGGTTCAGAACCCCAAGAAGTAACGGAAACTCTACGCGTCTCCTACTGCGCCTGCGCAGCCTCTGCCACCTCCTCCCCCTCCCCCCACTCCAAAGGCCCCCGGACGTTGTAGTTCGCGCTCCCGTTGGATCCCTGCGGATGTGGCGGGATGGGGGACTTCATTTCCCAGCATGCCTCTCTTCCGCTCTTTCCCTCCTCCTCCTCATCCCGGGCGGCTCTGTGTATATGTGTGTGTGTGTGTTTATGTGTGCCTGCGCGCGCGCGCGCGGCTCCAAGTGGGAGCGGCGCTCGTGAGGTGCGTGAGTGTTCCCGCGGAGTTTTCTCTCAGAACCTGCGCGCGGGAGAGAGAGAGAGAGCGCGAGAGAGAGTGAGTTGAGTGAGCGGCTCGGGCGGGCGGGCGACGAGGCGGGGAAGCTGAGGGGAAATGGCAGCGCGGGGCAACGTGGAAAGTTCCTTGGGTCCCACAGGAGGAGGAGGCGGGGAAGGAGGGGCAGGAAGTTCTTCCACAGGGTTATGATGAGGCCTGGGCAAACCTGGGCCCTCTGGGCGTTTGGGGCTCCAACTCCCACCCTTCCTAACAGCCTCAGGCCCCGGAAAGGGGCCTGAGGCTGTTAGGAATGGTGGGAGTTGGAGCCCCAAACGCCCAGAGGGCCCAGGTTTGCCCAGGCCTGGGTTTTTAGCCTAGGACCAAAAAAATTTCAAGCCTTGGAGGCGAATCTGTAGATATGAAAAGCCAGCTGTGCTGTGATCTGCCCTTTCTCCAGACTCTTTGAGCTAAGCTGTCCCACTGCTTATTTCATTGGAAGTGAACTCTCTCAGGGAATAATTGGCATCTTTTAATTAATTCTCAGCTCTGTTTCATGGAGGATGCTTGTGAGGATGATCTCTTCCATGTATTCTGAGCATTTTCCCTCTAAGACCATGGCACTGTTGTTAGTCTGCATAAAAACACCATCAGAGTTGGGTTGCTGTGAGTTTTCCGGGCTGTGTGGCCATGTTCCAGAAACATTCTCTCCTGATGTTTCACCCACATCTATGGAGCCCTCGGTGGCGCAGTGGGTTAAACCCCTGTGCCGGCAGGACTGAAGACCGACAGGTCGCAGATTTGGATCCGGGGAGAGGTGGATGAGCTCCCTCTATCAGCTCCAGCTCATCATACAGGGACATGAGAGAAGCCTCCCAGAAGGATGATAAAAACATCAAATTATCCGGGCGTCCCCTGGGGAACATCCTTGCAGATGGCCAATTCTCTCACATCAGAAGCGACTTGCAGTTTCTCAAGTCGCTACTGACACGACAATCCCCCCCCCCAAAAAAACAAAAACCCACCTCTATGGCAGGTATCTTTAGAGGTTTTAACCTTTGAAGCCATGAATGGTTTTGACCCAGATTACCTGTCTGAACGTATCTCCTGCTCTGAACCATCACGAAGCTTAAGATTGTCAGGAGAGGCCCTGCTCTCGATCCCACCACCCTCGCAATCGCGGTTGGTGGCTACAAGAGACAAGGCCTTCTCAGCAGTGGGCCCCCGTCTGTGGAACTCCCTCCCTAAGGACATCAGGTTGGCGATGTTCCTCCTGTCCTTTAGAAGATAACCCACAACCCCCATCATAATGAGCCCTCCTCCGCAAATTATCTGCTTTTCTTTTTTCTCTCGTCTGAGTTTTTAATTAGTTTTAATCAATTTGTCTTTTAATCATTACATGTAGCCCGCCCACTGTCACTGTGCCTGTGTCTATTGTAATTTTATATTATGTATCCACATGTTTTATGTAATTATGATATTGTTTATTGTTCGCGTTTTTGGTTGTGTCTTGGTTTTTCTTTATTGTAATTGTTGTTTGGGCATGGCCTCATATAAGCTGCTCCGAGTCCCCATTGGGGAGATGGTGGCAGGGTATAAATAAAGATTATTATTATTATTGTTATTATTATAAGACAACTGAAGACCTGGGTTTGGAACCAGGCGTTCGACTAGAGAGGAGCAGCAATATGAAAGAAAATTTTGGACATTGCGACTGGATTCTCCTGGCTTGGCTTTGGTGTATTGGCATGTTAATGAATTTATTTGTTGAATCTGTATAATGTTTTAAATGGATTTTATTGTTTTAATTGTAATTTTATTGGTGTATATGTTGATAGCATCATCGGATGCTTATGTAAGGGTACCCTGAGTGCCCTTGTGGGGAGAAGGGCGGGATAGAAATGTATGTAATAAAATAAATAATAACGCCAGGAGAGAATGCTTCTGGAGCATAGCCCTACAGCCCAGAAAACACAGCAACCCAGTGATTCTGGCCATGAAAGCCTTCAACAACAAAATAGTCTAGGACCTCATCACACTAGAGAATGAATCCATTTTAAATCTGCTTGCTGCCTCTTGCAGAATTCTGGGGTTTTTAGTTTAGGGAGGAGCCTTTAACAGCCTCACTAAACTACAAACCCCAGAATTCTGCAGGATTTAAAAGTGGATTCATTCTCTAGTGCAGGGATCCTCAAACGTTTTAAACAGAGTGCCAGGTCACAGTCCCCTAAACTGGGCTGGATTATAATTTGAAAAAAACCTTGAATGAATTCCTATGCACACTGCACATATATTTGTAGAGAGATAAAACAATTAAAAACAATATAGTAAGTAAATGAAGAACAATGTTAACAAATATAAACTTATTAGTATTTCAATGGGAAGTGTAGGCCTGCTTTTGGCTGATGAGGTAGGATTGTTGTTGTGTGCTCTCGAGTAGTTTCAAACTTAGGTTGATCATGAGCAAGGGCCGGGTAAATGACCTTGGAGGGCTGTATCCGGCCCCTGGCCCTTAGCTTGAGGACCCCTGCTCTAGTGTGTTGAAGTAGAAAGTTGCAAAGTAGAAAAGGTGATGGTGATGCTAGCTATTGAGGCAGTGTTGTTTGTTAGGCTCAAATCTGTATTAAATGTACAACAGAAAGAGAAATAATAGATTGTGAATGCAACATGAAAGAAATAAGTTAAAATGGAAGTTTTTCAGTTGTCGCCCACAACCTGTTACTAGTCGTGATACTGAAAGCTTGGTTTTGTGGGAGGCTGGCACAGAAATTCCTGACTTTGAGTCACATATGTTGTTGGGCTACACTTCCCAGAATCCTGACCATCAGCCATGCTTCTGGGGCCTAAAGGCCAAGGACCTAAACTCTGAGAAACATACATGGGATAGGGGCAATGTGGAGAGAGTAGAAGAATACTGCAAGTTGCCTCATCCTCCCCATCCTTTGCCGAGAGGTTGAAGTTGTTGAAGCTTTTATTTCTGAGCTTTTACTTGCAAATTGATGTATATTTGATTGTTTTTTTTTCATGCCAGAAGCGACTTGAGAAACTGCAAGTAGCTTCTGGTGTGCAAACCATTTATCTTCGGCATTCACAAAATATGGCAATTCAGCACAGTTCAGTAGTTTCATAAGGCCAAGGCTGCAATTTTGTGCTTATTTGTCCCACTGGATTTCATCAGCCCTGGAGATAGAGTTGTATGCTGTTGGACTGCACAAAGTCCTTATTCACTGACAACTCTTTCCTGAGCAAATTCTTTTGCTGTAGTTGCTGCAGAACTCAATCAGATGTGTATTGTTTAGATACAGCTTTAATTTTAAATATTAAGGGAACCTTTTAGGTAAACCAGTGGTTCCCAACCTTTTTTTGACCAGGGATCACTAGACTAGGGACCACTCTCCAACAGGGTTATGAATCAGGTTTTGGTCAACTTTAGATTCGGATTTGGTTATTTGGGGTGCTGATTCAGAAAATTGCATTGGATAGACAACATCAGCTCTAGTTTCTGATACAGAACATATGTCATCCAGTAGTTGCCTTCTGCTCACGCACAGAAAACTGTATTTAATAATCTAGAGCTGATGTGGTCAATCGAATGCAATTTTCTGAATCAGCACCCCAAATAACTCCAGGAACAGGCCTAAAAACAAAGAAACCAAGGTGGCCCTGCTTCCAGGTGCTACATGGAACGACACTGCTTGGGGAGGGAGGGAGAGAGGGAGGAGAAGCAGCAGTCAGTAGGCTTATTGTCATGCCTTTCATGGATAGTAAGCTTCTCACCTCCTGACATCCCTATTGCCTCAGCACTCTAAGGGTTTTGCGAGATCAGTGGCTCTTGTTGCAACAATGTATTAACGGCGAGGCCGCGGACCATATTTTAGTTCTTGAGGACCACTGGTGGTCCATGGACCACAGGTTGGGAACTGCTGAGATAAACCAAACATTTGGACAAACTAAGGGCTAGTTTTGATCATTTCCTGCTCTTCTAGATTTTGCCTGTTTGTGTCCAAGGACATCCTTTTACACCTTTTCTTGTTGAGAGTACTTTGTTCTCACAGTGATAAAAGAAGTATCTTTCTTCCACATACTTCACAGAAGGTGACAGAGAGTTGACTGCTTTGGCAGCATCCAGACAACCACCAACACTCTTTCTCACCTTGCATCTTTGAAAGGGATGCAATACAACTAAAGGGGGAAGAGTTGTTTATCCTTGATGACCCAAGGTTGGAAGTAATATTGGGGTCCATTTGGTTCACCAGAACATGAATATGGAAAGTGAAAGCATAGAAATCTTCTTCTGCTTCTTGAAAGCAGCACAGACAAAACAGGAGAAGCTGTGGATGAAACTTCCCTGATGAGGTAGTGAAATAGATAAGGATTTGAACAATGCTGATTATGTAAGGCTTTGATGGCTTCTGACTTTGAAATAGATTCATTCCAATGTAGCTGTTTATCTGTCAGTGCCTGATTTCATTTGAAGGAGGAGTTACTAGAAATGGTTTCAAAACCTGGGAGTTGAATTGCCTGTAGTCTTGAATGAGTCAGGTCTGGGTGCTATTGGAAAGTGGAAGAGAACTATTTCTAAGTTGAATATCTGATCTGATCAGTGTAATTCTTTTCACATTCCATATATGAAGAGTTTGGAAATAAGGTTCAGTGCAGTGCTGAAATTCTCAATAGGTAAGAAAGAGTTAATCTTGGAAAGAGGCATCCGAACTTTGTAGTGAGAATTCTTGACCTGGTTTCTGACAATTTCTCTTGACCAGATTGTCTTATCTCTTCTAGATTAATTTTATAGTATTTTTGAGTCTTAGATTTGTATTTTCTTTCTGGAAAAAACCCCAAACTAAAATAATCAAAATCATCATTCTGGAATAGTTACTTTAAATGATGCATTGTGTTCTAGATATATATCTCTGTCTATTTATGTATCTTCTGTGATAGCCTTTTATATGAGAAGTGGTGATTATAGCTAAATTTCAGCAGTGCCTTCATAACAAAATTTATGATGAGCTATATCCCACTTTCTCTACATTTACTATAGAATCATCAATGATCTAATCCTTTATCGCTTAGATTCTTGCAGATTCTTATTTGTCTGCTCTGTACACTTTATTCAGCTCAGAATGCCTCTCCCCAAATTCTGTTTCTTTCTTTTTGTTACGACCATGTGCCTTTTTCCTTTTATATCCTATTTGTTTCTGATGTAAGGTTTCTGTGTAGAGTCTGTCATGTTTCAGTTCTTTGTTGTAGCATTGTGTTCATCTGTTGCAGGGAAGGTGAAACTGTAAAGGGAATTATTATTTCCCCCTTGCTTTGGATTTACAGGAGTTTGAACAGAAACTTAGAAAAATAATTTCCTTTAAGAGTTACTCTATTTAGATTATTTTTTTTGCTATGAAATACATTTTAGGAGCCCTGACAAGTCACATGCTGGTGTGATGTACTGTTATAATGTACAGGGACTTTGAAGATCCAGGCTTGAATTTCACTGATCCATGAAAATCATTGAGTGACCTGAAAGTCATACACACATTGGAGCAAAGCTGGGCTATATATTGATGAGGTGAAAGTTTCAGAAAATCTATATGTCTGATCTCTGGCATTGTTTTAAGTTTTGTAACTTTGTTATTTAAGCTCAGTCCAGTGAAGAGAATCTTGTTTTAATACTTTGCTCTGTCCAGACTTATAAAAGACGAATTAAAATCAGTGGGACTTAGGACTTTCATGTCTTGATTTCAGTATTTCTCCATGATTAAATTTGGAGACTACCTATGGTAACTAAATGGTAACATTACATCAGTTATTAGAACTTGCTTTATTTTTTACCTTCTAATGTTTGTTTTCGTGTCATAGATTATAAGGTTCTGTTTTATCTGTAGTAACTGAATGTAATTTTAAATAAATTCCTTTCTTATAGAGCAGATATGTACAGCTCTGTAAAAATGATGTTCAGTTACCCTATTGCACAACTATAGGGACATTATTAAGATGTAAATTTCTCTGATTTAAGTAGGGTTTGCTTAAGATTTGTTCCAAGGCTGAAGATCAGCATTTCAGAAGTCAAAAACAGTAACCATTTGAAGGAATTATTTGTTTCTTCCCTAGTGCAAGTAGAAATACATTCTGTTGAGCAAGTGATGAAAGTTCAATCTCATAGTTTGTGTTTATGCAGCTTCTATAGTTAGATGTGGAATAATGTGTATTTTTCTCAAATTCCGTTATAAAATGTCTCTTTTCAGAAGACAAAGCTCACTGTGCAATCTTTAAATTTTATTGTGAAATAGTTCTATTCCTTGACACAAGGCCATGAAACTTGCTGGACTTTAACTCCCCTCACCCATGTGTACTATAACTCTTCATCTTCCTTTGTCATAAGTTGCAGTCCAAGTAGGTCTGAAGAGTTTTATAAACTATAAGGCAATCATTTTTGAATTTCAGCTCATAATTCTGCTAATGAAAGCTCATTTGATATGTTTGCATGGTTATTTATTTATTTATTTCGTATCAAAAGCATTGCATACATTAGTATAAAACTGATGCTTAAAAACCAATATAAAATGCCTATTTTAGACAATGGTCAAATTTGTGGTACAATAAGTTACCCAAAACTTCATAAAACAAAATATTGAAATAATTGAAAAGTGACAAGTTGTCTTAAGGAGAAACACATGGAAACATTTTCTTCATAATGATGCAGAACTGTACAGTAGGTTGCTTCCTTTCAAGTGAACCTAGAGATTGAACCAGGAGCTTTAGACATACCAAGCAAGTACTCCTGGCTATAATTTCTCCCTCAATAATTCAAAATGAAAGTGAAATACCTTATATCTAAAAATGAAAAGAGAAATAGATTTTGATATGAATATTGTGAATCTGGTATCAATTTAGCTTTAAATGAGACTGTAGTGTTATATAACATTCCTGGTACAGTATGTGAAAATAATGTGTTTTTTTTTCCTTCCACTAGGAAAAACATAACAGTTCAAAATGCAGAGGATTACCACTGTGAATCCAGCGCTTCTGTTTACTGTACTTGTATTCATAGACGTTTTGTTCCTTCCTTTTGTAAGATGAACATCTTCCAAATATGAAAGCACAGAGATTGTTGAAGGAAACCGTATTTTTTCATCTGCATTAAATGGAACAGGAACATCTGCAAACAAAGTAAATTCATCCAAAACAGGACTTATGAACCAGATATTTATCCATACTTTTTTGAAACTGGCATAACTTGTAACTGTGTCCATGCTGTTGACTTTTATGCAGTACTTCTTTAAGTGTGACATTTGATAGGTTTCCTCCCCTGAATGTATTCTAAGGTTGTCTCAAGAGTAGTGAAATGAAGATCCTGTGTGAAATAACAATGTCTATGTCTGTTTCTGAAGAGAACAATTTCATAATGATGTAAGCCTCTCCCAACATCTGGATGTGGTGCTAAAGGCAAATCATTTTTGATCAGCTGACGTGAAACTGCAAAGAAGACCTTCCATTCAAATAACTTCTAGCCAAAATAATCTCAAACATCAATATGCACAGAATGAAAAGAAAAGCAAAGATAACTTAGATGAAAGATTTCCATAAACAATAAAAAGAGAAGTGTGAAATTGTTCCTGCTACATTGCAGGATCAAGGGATTTTCTTGACTATTGGACAGGCCTTGACAGATTTAAATCAAGTCAGATGTCATCAAACGAATCATCTCCTCCATCTTTACCGAAGTTTTCACCATCTGTGTCTCATGCAGCTGCTCCACCAGCCCCTTCTTTATCTTCAAGTCCACAATCTGGACTCTCAGGAAGGTTGTCCAATGGCAGCTTCAGTACACAAAGTCTCACCAACTCCAGGGGCTCTGTACATGGAATGTCCTTCTTGCTGCAGATTGGTCTCACCCGTGAGACGGTTACCATTGATGCTCAAGAGCTCTCCCTTTCTGCTGTCAAAGACCTGGTGTGCTCTGTAGTTTATCAAAAGGTATGGTAATGTTAATTGGCTTTTAGTGTTGTTTATATATAAATAGCCCCGTGCTTCTTTCTCTTCACCATTGATAAGCACACAAGAGGTGGGCAAAATGAAGTATCATTGTACTCTGGCTGTTGAGGAATAACTTCTGCAGTGGGGGATCTGCTGCTGAAATTCATCTGCAGCAAGCTCGAGAATATGAAGAAAAAGTGTGTTTCTCTCCATTGGATGGGTGTCTGGAGAATTGAGAAATAAAAAGTCATAATCTTACATACTGACACAAGAAGGCTTAGGGTTCTTTCTGCTAAGACTTAAATTGTTCTAGTTGTTGCAGGGAAGGTGTTATAAGAATTTTGCTTACCAAGATAGGACTTTTGCATTGAGCTTGAGCACTTGTAGTAGGCCTTGAGATGAATCCCAAGACATGATCTCAGGTAAATCAGCATAGTAGTTTCTTTCATGATAAAAATACATCATCTTATCCAGCTTTTAAAAATATGAGGGAACAAAGGAAATAAAACTGAAATGATAGATTGATAATATGACTTAATCTTATGTTATTTTGTGTTTTCTGAATGGTTTCTATTATGTGTAGCCTTCTTGTATCTGGAATTTAATTCTCTAATTTTTTTCATTAGAGATTGTACAAGTGTTTTCAGTGATACTGGCTTGTAAGAAAAACTATTATTTCCTTTTTTCTTGGCCCATAACACTTTTGACAGATAATAGTTTCTTTTTTGCCAGTTTGGCAGCTTACATAAGCATTTTGTTGTTCATTTCCATACTTGGACATCATGCTTAATTTTTGTTGAGCACAAATCCTAGTATTTGTGTTCCAGATTAATGTTCCATTTTTTTTCTTTTAGAGCTATTTCATGTGCTTGTGAAATACTTATTTGGTAATGGGTGCCCATTAATTGGGTTCCAGCATTGGACAAGAAGACTAATTAACCACTCAGAGATTAGCTTCCCCTTGAGTTAGTGTACTTATATAATGTACTAAAATTGTGTTTCATCCCTTATACTGTAGGATACCATCTTACTTTTGTTATATATAATGTACTAAAATTGCATTTCATCCATTATACCAGGGGTCCTCAAACCTTTAAAACAGAGGGCCAGGTCACATTCCCTCAAACTGTTGGAGGGCCGGATTATAATTTGAAAAAACATGAATGAATTCCTATGCACACTGCACATATCTTATTTGTAGTGCAAAAAACACTTTAAAACAATACAATAATTAAAATGAAGAACAATTTTAACAAATATAAACTTTAGTATTTTGCTGTTGTTGTTGTTGTGTGCTTTCAAGTCGTTTCAGACTTAGGTTGACCCTGAGCGAGGGCCGGGTAAATGACCTTGGTGGGCCGTATTCAGCCCCTGGGCCTTAGTTTGAGGACCCCTGCATTATACTATAGGATACCATCTTTTGTTGAGAATGGAGGGTTGCTATTATAGTAACTGACCAGAGGAAAAAGCACCATGCAGTTAAGTGAGTGTTAACTTCCAGAATGGAATTACACATTTTTAAGAGTCCAAGGCCTCTGTGTACCTTGACATCATTTCTATTCCTAAAAATATCATGTTTTGTGATGATGGGCTTGCTGCCATTCCATGCCATTTTTCCAATCAGTATTCAAGAAGATCTGTTCTTGTTACTTTTGCCACTTTAGAGGGTGATTTAAAGTAAAGTCTCTTTCAGTAGCTGCTCTAGACTAGATCCTATCTGACAGAGGTTGGGAAGGAAGAATAAAGTTTTTAAAACTGTCTCAAGACATCAAGAAATTCTAGAATTAATCTTTATTTACCTCGTTTATTGGAAACTGTAGAATTATCTTCGTATCTGAATCACATCTTTTTCTGGTTCTCTAGTTGTTTGGAGCTCAGGGTGATATACCATTGAAGCTTTCTGGATTGCACTTGTTTACTCATCACTTCTCTCTCCAAAAAGAAGCTGTAAAACATTATAGAGTTGTTTCCTGGTTCATATGGAGCTGGTCACCAACCCAACTGATGACTACATTGTGGCTCCCTCAGTTACACTGCCTTTTGGCCAGGGGCAATAGTGTGTCGAAGTGAATTAACATTTCAAAAACTGGCCAAAATACAGAATAAAAGTACAAAATAGTGGCAGGTGTCTTCTAGCAATGTTCAGTTTAGTCCAGATCTGTTAGTTCTCACACAGCATGGAAAACACAGTTCCATAGCCACAAGACATGCACAATGCAGTGTCAGTTGGAAAGCAAATAGGTCAATGATAATGATAATGGTGATAATAATAATTTTATTTGTTACCCACCTTCCCTTGTGGCTTGAGGTGGGTTACAACATAGTTTAAAACACTTAACCATTGTAAACATTCTACAAAACATATATTAAAATATATTTCTATAGAACACACATATTAAACTGTATTTCTATAAAATGCATATTAAAATGCACAGAACAAAAATGAAAACACAATACATGAGTTTAAAATTCATGATTACAACTGACTGGGTAGGCATACTGATAGGTCTTCAATTGGGTCTTAAATTCTGACAGCAGATCTAGCTGCCAGATATCTTCCAGCAGGTCGTTCCACAATCTTGAGGCGTCCGATGAAAAGGTCCTCTGGGTGAAGGTTGCCAGTTGGGTTCTGGTAAGCTAGAGTAGATACCTCCTACATGACCTTAGTGTGCAGGGAAGATTGTATGGGAAAAAGGAAGGCCCTGGGCTCTGTTTTGTAGTGTTTATTCTGTGTTACTCTGTGAGTTATTGATTTTAATGAGTGACATTAACATTAGAAACTGTTATAGGAGGCTATGAGAGTTTGGGGAAGCTTCATCCTGATTCTGTAGCTGAATAGGTGTCTGTGTTAAGATATTCTAATGCTTTATCGAATGTACTTATTGAATCAATATATTTTACAATACGGGTAAATTTATCTATTTTGTTTATTTATTTACTGTATTTCTACCCCGCTCTATCTCTCCCCGAAGGGGACTCAGAGTGGCTTCTAGTTTTGGCAATTATTCAATGCCACATTGAAATTTAAAAGCTAACACACACCTAACACATTAAACTATAAAATCAAATAAAACATATAAATACGATAAAAAAACTGTTAAAAATATATTAAAACATTGCACCTAGTCCAGTGTTCTTTTGGATTGGGCTTTTCAATTTGTATCTTTGCTTTAATTGACACCAGCTTTAAATTCAGAAGTACATAATATACAACATAAAATGTCTATAACGTCAGATTATGGTTTTGTCTACTCCAGTTGGTGAGTCCCCTTGGAGGGAGAGGGCGGATTAAAAATAAAGTTTTATTATTATTATATTAGTGCATTTGTATGTGCATGAAAGCTCTGATTGTGTCAGTAGTAGCTGCAGAATATGCACATGTTCTCTGCAGGCAGAAAAAAAACACAAAAAAAAAACCTCACCAGGAAATGAGGAGGAGGGGTGCTTATTTCTGGTGGATCCCCCCTCCACTATAAGTACTCTTTCAGCTGGTTCACAGGTGGTGGTATATCTCCAAGATCACAGGCAGATTTCATGTGCATCTGATGTTTGGCCAGAAGGAGACATCTATATGTCTCAGAACAAAGACCTAAAATTAGATTGCATATATTTTATATACATATAGCCTTACATGAAAGCATTTTTCTGCTGTGTTAGGATTCTATAATGCCAAAGGATTAATGATCTGTGCTATTTCACAGGTGGCAGAAGTTTTTGCAGTGGAATTGATTTCTCCATCAATATTATGGCACATTAGTGAAAACTTTTCTGCATGTATGATTTGAAAAAAATATTTGTGAATGTGGAGCTACATAACTTGTTATTTCATTCATGGGTGCAGCTTATTTGAGTACGTAGTAGGAAGGGACAATCCTCTCTCTTTTGTACCTCTCAAGTCCTAAAAACCTATTCCTTCTTTTTTGGTATTGAAAAGAACTACAGTGGGAAAGAGGGGCATAAAACACCCCACGTGTGTCATGTTAGAATTAGCTATTTGTATTTATCTTTTTATATCCTCCCCCCCCCTTTTTTTTAAAGAAGTATGATATTTGACATTTTCCTTGTTTTACAAGAACCCTGTGAATCAGGCAGAAGCACTAATCTCTTGTACTCTCTCTCCTATGCCATTGGTTCTGGACTTTTTGAATGTATGACTGGAGGAATGGTGGTGGCATCCAAGGGTGGATGGGCCCCTGAGGTGGGTTTGGTGCTTTCCCGTGTCTACGGCATGACCATGAATTTACCCACAGGCCATATGACAATCTGTAATTTTGGTGCCAAAGCCTGCCTTTGGCTTACATATGAGGCCAAAGTGTAGTTTATATGTTTTTCCTTTTATAAATTCAGTTTGAGCCTAATCATGCCTGATGCTAAGTTTTTCATATTGTATGTAATACAGTATAGTGGAGAATTCTGCTTATTTTACAGCATTTAAAATAATATCTCCAGATGAGAGCTGTTTAATAAGTCATATCTGAATATTTCATCTGCTAGCTGGCCATTTTCCATTCCACTGTCCCAGTTCTGAATGAGTGATGATTTCAACAAAGTTAAGATCACAAGTATTCTTTGTTTTCTTAAAAATTACTGCTGCTCTTTACATTATTCATCCCTCCCAGATTCCCCTTCCATTTTTATTGTAATCCCAATTTTGTGTTATCTGTACTAATGTCTCCCACAGCGTTTCCTGTAATGGCTCATCTTCCCTTTTTTGGCATCCTTTAAAGTGTTATTCTCCATTATTGCCTCTTTTGCCCAATCTTATGTGCTCTAATTTCTTTGAACTGCCAGCACTCCTCTGATTCTGCATTCTTCTGGTTTGAAGCCAGCCTCTCCCTCATGATTCAACTTCATCTCTTGCACTGTTACAGCACCAGTTTGTGTTTTTGCTGTTATCCTTAATTCACTTCCTTAAAAAGTTAGCTTGGTTCCAATACAACTATTCATATCTGCATTAGTGATTTCTCATTGCATTGCCTTCAAGAGAAGTACATTTGTTT